AGCTTAGTTTGGATTGTCCTTATATATCATTTAGAATGGTCAATCTTTTCTATTTGTTTCATGGCCAATTAAGCATGGAAATATAAATCTCCACACAGGCATACTTGGAATATGGCTAGCTACAGTTCAAATTTCAAATCTATCCATTTCTCAAAAATTTTCCCTACTAATGAATGTGCCATGACATCAATATTAGTACATGGTGCCAGTGCCCCCATTAAAATCCCCTCAGCAGAGAGGTCAAATATACACCAGTGGTTTTCTGCAACTCTGCTTAGGAGAATTTATTGCCACCACTGGAGTTTGCCCTAAGAGAACTTCAATCCTTAAGTTACTCCAATTTCCTTGACCTTCCATGTGATAATTTTCTCTGAAGACCTCCAGCAAGGCCCTGGTTTTTTATTTGTTTTGTTTGGTGGGGGTGCCCAGGATCAAACTCATAACCTTGCACTTTCCAGGCAGGTTGTGGCACCACTGAGCTAAATCAGTGGCCCACCAGTTTTGAAAAGTAACCTGAATGCTCACTTTTTATTGGCTTTCTTCCACTACCATTTTATTTTTCCATTCTCATAAAGTGCAACCTGTGATCACTTTTCAGATATAGCACTTTCAATTAAAAGCTTATCTTAGGGTCTATTTTTGAAAGTGGGGACACAAGCAACATTTTAACTTAAAACTATAAGGAATGATTATCTGGAATATTCCCAAAGTCCTGCAATTGATCTCCTAGATCTAAATGTTTTCTCTCCTCATGTGAGTTTTATTTATTTATTTATTTATTTATTTGTGGTACCAGGGATCAAATTAAGGCCCTTGTGCTTGCAAGATACGTGGCATACTTTTAATAAAATAAAAAATTTCAAAACAATTGAAAGATATACACTTTTCCTGCATAGGCACAACTACTATTGTCAAAATGGCCATGATTCGAAAACTGATATATACACCGCCTGCCTCACAAGCACAAGGACCCAAGTTCAATCCCTGGTACCAAAAAAAAAAAAAAAAGAAAGAAAAATGATATATAGAATTAATACAATCCCAATCTAAATATCAACACCATTTTCTATAGATCTATGAAAATTAATCCTAAAATTCATATGGATTCATAAGGGGCCCAGAATATCAAACACAATCCTTGAAAGAAGAGCAAAGCAGGAGGCATCACAATCCCAAATTTCAAGTTAGATTATAAAAGCTATAGTTATAAAAATAGCATGATATTGGCACAAAAACAGATGTGTTGATCAATGGAAAAGAACAGTTGATTGAGAAAAAAAAAAAGCACATTCAGCTATCTGATCTTTGAAAAAGGGGCCAAATATATACACTGGAGGAAGGATAGACTCTTCAGCAAATGGTGCCAGAAAAACAGGCTATTCAGATGCAGAAGATTGAAGGTAGACCCCTATCTTTCACCATGCACTCAATGGATCAAATATCTAAATATTAAAACAGAAACATTTAGTTTCCTGAAAAATAAAATAAGTAAAAATTTTGAATACATAGTCATAGGTAAGGATCTTCTGAACAGAACTTAATTGCACAAGAACAAACTAAGAATCAACAAAGGGGATTGTAGCAAATTAAAAGGCTTCTGCACAGGAAAGGAAATAACCAACAGAGAAGAGAGGCAACCTGCAGAAGGGGAAAATTTTTCTCAGCAACTATCTGGAAAGAGGATAAACATCCAGAATATATGAAGAATTCAGAAAAATTAGACCTCTCTACAATAAAACAAAAGCACAATCAAAATAAGGGCAACTGCAATGGATACTGTATTTCTCAGAATAAGAAGTACAAATGGTCAATAAATACATTTAAAAAACATTCACCTTCTCTACGCATTATAGATAAACAATGAAAACATCACTGAGGTTCTGTGTTATTCTAGAAAGAATGACTATCACCAAACCATCAAATAAAACATGCTGGTGAGGTTGCAGTTGTAAAGGGAACACTTCTACATTGATGGTGAGAATGTAAACTAGTACAAACTGCTATGTCAATCAGTGTGGTGATTCCTCAAAAACCTAAAAATATAAATTCCATTTGACCTAGCTAATCACCTTTTGGGCATCTTTTTGAAAGAGATAAAGACAATATATCATAGTGCTGTATGAATACCCATGCTACAGCAGCACAACCCATAATAGCTAAATCTTGGAAATAGCCCATATGTTAATCAACAGATGAATGGATAAAGAAAATGTGGTGCATATTTTTACACAATGGAGTACTGCTCCACCACAAAGAAGGATAAACTTGAGCTAGTTATAGGAAAAGTGAACATACCTTGAGAAAATAAAAATATGGGAAATATATCTAAGACACAAGCTTGAACATCACATGCTTATTCTTACAAGATAAACTCAAAGATAATAAATAAAGAGGAAAAAAAAGATAAAAGGAAACAGGGAGATAGATCTTTGGCAAATGGGAAAAATTCCAAGAGATGGAGGGACAAAAGAGGGAGGGAAGGTGAAGGTGAAGTAAAAATAATTAAGGATAGGGCCAGGGATTTAGCTCAGTGGTTCCACCGCCTGCCTGTGTTATGTACGTGTATCAATTCCACACAATGAATTTAAACTTCTTGCCCTACAAATATGTACTAACAAAAATAAAAGTGCTGTAAAACAGAAGTCTTCGGCGGAAACACTGTCTATATTTCTAGCTCTACGCTATTCTTGATTCTTATCAAATACACACACACAATCACATCCAGTTAACACTATTTTTTTTTTATTTTCAATGCCTGTTTTTATATTTCAATACAGCTATTTCTTCTGCTGGAATGTCCTCTCCACTCACATTAGCTGACAAATTCTACCTTATCCTTCGAGGTCCTGTTCAAGTCCATTATCCCCTATAAAGCCCACTAAGACTCTCACTGGAGAAATTACTATCTCCTTCTAACATGTTCCCTGGTACCATGATTACACTTTCAATTTATCACAGTATACCTTGATTGAGATGATTTACAGATACTTATTCCCACATTGAATCATAAATTCCTTGGAGGCATGAGACATATCACATTGAAAATATTCAAAATAATCACCAAACCTATGTTCTAGCTCTGTTCAACCCAAGACACCTGATCAAGGTCCTGGGGAACTTTGATATCTCATGTTTTGATAAGACCCTATTTGATTAATGAAAATATGCTTTAAAAAAATCCACATTCTCAAAAATCCTGATGAAAAGAACATAAAATGATACTAAAAGGGCAAAGTATGTAAAATGTAATAATTTAATTTTTCTTAGATATATTTAAATAACTTCAAGAGTCTTTCACAACCTTCGAGAATTTTGTCAAGGTGTTCACAAACATTTTCAGTTCAGTTATGGTCCACAATTTTTTATTTCTTTTTACATTTCTTCTCATAAGTAGCAAAATACACTGCTCTTTACATAATAGGAAACTGAGATTTATTATATTTTATGAAAAATATTCATGAGAATTCTGAGTGGCTCATTTCTGTTTACAAAAAATAATTAAAAATTGAAAATAAAGGAAAAATCCACCAACTGTTACCACTGATAATCAAAATGAAAACTAAACTCTTTGAACTACTGGAGATTGAACCCAGAGGCTTTGCATCTATTTTTTATGTTTATTTTTATCAGTCTGCACAATTTATTACTTATGTTTACATAAATTATATTTATATTATTTATTTTTATTTATCTATATATTTATTTTATTTTTATATATTTTGATTTAAAATTCTTAATTCTTAACTCCCCAATTTGCCTAGACTGAGATCAAATTTGCATTCCTCTTATCTCAGCTTTGAAGAGCTCTGGGACTAGAGGTAAGCATCATTACACTTGGCTGACAGTGAGATTTCTTTAAAACAAAGTACAGCTTCTACATTATTATAAAATCAGAAATTATGTGACTTTATTGACATGCTTGGAATAGGGATATTATGTTTCAAATGTACCTATCACATGATTTACTAATGGGTTTTATAAAGCCAAATATTTTAAAGATAAATGTGAACATGTTTACAAATCCTTGCTATGATAACATCTGAGATTAAGGACTTTGGAAGTAGTGGTGAGCATAGTATTCTTCCCACACCGTACAATCTATTATAGTGTTAATGATGGGATCATCGTGATTGGCATTCTGAAATGTCTCTTCTGCTCACTAATGAGCATCTAGTTTACTCTCTGGACTTTATGCTTTGCAACAGGTCTCTCTTCTCTATGCCTTCTATGGTAAATATTACACTTTCCTTGAAGATCTGTTAATGAGGCACACAGAATGAGAGGCTAGGTTCTACATAGAGGAGGGTGGCTACCAAGTATATGCCTACTGTAGTTCTAAAGTCATGTCCAATTACTTACATTATGATTATTAAATTATTAGGATTTATCTACCAATGAAGCATTTAATCCTCTTACAATTAGGGAAGCTTATTCCCTTGGTGAATCATAGCCTTTCAGTTTAACTATTATCTTCTATCACTTCTCACCTTCCTCTTTTCAAATGCTTGTAGGAATACATCCCACCCCCATTCTCAAGCAAGGAACTTGGTTCAGGGACCTTAGGAAAAATTTGGACAAGTACATGCTTTTAGAGATAAAGGGAAAATACTTAACACATACCAAACATTAACCTATTTTCATATATCAGTTAAATGCATGCAGCTATTTTATAGTATCTTCTTATAGACTGCTACTGGATTCATACATTGGTATAAGTATTTGAAAATATTTATAAAATTTTAGATGTAAATACTCTTTCTACTTTTAGGAATTTAGTCTATAAATACATTTGAAGAAATAGTCAAGATAATATAACGTGGTGCATAAAATATATGCCCCAAACCTCTGGTTATAGGGTTTAGAAAGCCAATGACTGAAATAGAAACCTAAATTTTCCTCTGGGTCATTTATTATAAAGATTTATGAATTATATTTGTGTTTCTTCTCATCATATTTCTAGGACAGTGTCATACTTTATGTTTTCTCAGTGGATTTGATACCTTTTTGTACTCCACGCTTCCAAGGGCACACATTTATAACATATGGAATTGAATTATCTGGCTCTATGGTGAGATATGGATTGCCCCACACTATTGGAAGGTCTGAAGATACCTAGAAAATAGAATTGGAAAACAAGAATATAATATCATATCAAATGTTTTCCTATGTTTTTAAAATGTTAAAATACATGAAATTAAAGCTACAAATTCATGTATGCTGACATTTAATTTACATACTTCCATTAAAATTATCCATTTTTAAATGAAAAGAAAGCCAGGAAAATGTTACACAAAGTCTGAGAACTGATCTATTAAAAAATAAAACAAAAGAGATTATTCTTATAGTAAAGCAACATCCATTTTCTATCACTACTTGAATCAAAATCAGTGATGTTAAGGAAATATAAATATATTTTACAGGTCTTGTTCAGTTTTCTTTATGCAATTTGATATACCAGAGAAGAACAATTTCAACAAATTTGTACATCAGTTTTAGCAGAGAATATAAAGAATTTTAACTAGCATGTGACCACAATCCTAGTTAAATACAACTTTCAGTTTTCTTGGTGCATATATCACATTAGTCATATTATACTGATAAACACTGTCTCACTCTGCGTGTCTATAAATTTTCCTACTGTGGACAATTCTTTAAAATGAAATCATATAGTATGTAGTATTTTATCAATAGCTTTTGAAACTGAACCTACTTTTTAAAAAATTTATTTTTGAAAAATTTATGTTGTGAGATAAATAAATTAAGCTAATTAACATGTTTTACGTCACATAGTTATTTTGTGGTAAGAATATATAAAACAAATATTAATGGACATGCAAAATCAAAAACACTAATATAACTGTAATGACCAGAATCAGTACTCCACTGTCACAAATAGAAAGATCAACTAGACAAAAAGTCAATGAAGAAATACGAGAACAGAACCAAACCTGTGAACAAATGGATTTAGTAGATGTCTACAGTGTTCCACCCCACACCACCAGCATACATATTCCTCTCCGCTGCACATGGGACACTGACAAAAATAGACTATATAGAGTAGCACAATGAACATGCTTAAATAAATGCAAGGGAAATGAAATTATACCATGCTTATTATCACACCATAGAGAACTGAAATTAGAAATCAATGACAAAAGAAACCACAATAACACATGGAAATTAAATACCATCCTCCTGAACAAAAAATGAGCCATAGATGAAATTAAAGAAGAAATTAGATAATGCCAATGCAACATACTGGAACTTGTGGGACACAATGAAAGCAGTCCTATGATGGAAATTTATAATAATGAATTCCCATAACAGAAAAACAGGGCAAACTCAAATACAAGACTTAATGTTGAACTTTAAGCATTTAGAAAAAGAAGAGCAAGTCAAACCCAAAGCTCGTATGAGGGGGGAAATTATAAAGATCAGAGCAGAAATTAATGCAAGGAAAACTAAGAAAATAACAAAGAATCCGTGAACTGAAGAGTTGGTTCTCTGAAAGATTAAATAAAATTGACAAACCTGAAGCCAGATTGATGAAAAAAAGGAAAGAAAAGACTCAAATCCATGCAATTAACAATGAAAAGGGTGAATCACAATAGATTTGGCAGATTCAGAAGATCATTGTTGTAGTCAGGGTTTGCAAGGGAATAGATTTAATACAGGACACATAGGATTATTTTATAATATTCACCCAGAAAGTCAAATGCAGACAAGGGCAAGAGATCTGTCCATATGCTAGAGACCTGAAGAATTCAGCCTAGATAACATTGAAATGTCCTGCACAAGTCGAGCTTATGACCTAGAGTCCAAGGCAATGCCCTCCATGAATCCAGCCAGAGACCCAGAGCCTAAAGCAATGTCTCATACAAGTCCTAATCAAGGTTCTGCAGTGAGAAGGTTCAAAGGCCAGTGGAGAAAGATAGAAAGTCTGCGAAAGCAGGCAAAGGATATGTGCCACCAGGCTAAGGGATCTTCACTAGAGCCAGGAAGCGATGCGGAAGGCAAAAACTAGAGGTCTCCTTATTAGAACAGCAGCTGTCCTGGGCAACAGCACGTATCCTGGGCAACAGCAGAGGATGTGACCTTCTCTGATATTGAGAGCAGCAGAATTCATTACAGGAAAACCAGTCGCATCAAGCTTCTTCAAGAAAATCAATAGCATACAATCCTTCCCTCCAGTTCTCCTTTTATGCTATTGGCAACAATTCTCAGGTGAGTGTTCCACACCCAGAAGTACACTGACTCAGTTCAAGTGGGCACTGGAAGTTGACCGTTAGTTCATCCACCACAATGATAAATATCTATTTCAAGAACTTGTATTCTAATAACACAGAAAACGAGAAAAAATGGACACGCTCTTACATTCATATGAATTACCAAGCTGAATAAAGAAGATAAAAAAATAATTATAAAGAAACCATTATCAGTCAATGAAATTGCAGATGTAATTAAAAACCTAGTAACATAGAAAAGCCTAGCCCAGACAGATTCACTACTGAATTCTACAAAAAGTTTAGAGAAGACCTTTGCCACTACTCCTCAAACTCTTTAATGAAACTGAAAGGGAAACAATACTCCCAAATTCATACCTGGAAGCAAGCATTACCTGATACTGAAACCAGAGAAGAATCCAACCAAAAAAGGGAACTATAAGCCAATCTCCCTGATGAGCATAGAAACAAAAATTCCCAAAGAAAAACTGACAAATAAAATGCAGCAAATCATCAAGAAGTTTATATACCATGACCAGGTAGGATTCATCTCAGGGATGCAGGGATGGCTCAACATATGTAAATCAATAAATGTAATACACCAAGAGAGCCAAGGACAAAAACCAAATGATCATCTCAATAGATGCAGTAAAAGTATTTAACAAATTCCAAAAGCCATTCATGATAAAAACCCTGCAGAAAGTTGGAGCAGATGGTCTTTTTCCCAATCTGATAAAAGATATCTATGACAAACCAACAGCCAACATAATACTAAATTGACAAAAACTGAAAGCTTTCACTCTAAAATTAGGAACAAGATAAGGATGTTCACTGTCACCCCTCTTATTCAAATACTTCAGGAAATATTCGCCAGAGCAATTAGATAAGAGAAATAATAAGGATAGGAAGGGAAAAAGTTTAACTACCATTATTGGCAGATGACACAATATTTTACATAGAAGACCCCAAAAATGCCACCAAAAGTCCTCTAGATTTAATAAGCAAGTACAGAAGCACATCTGGATATGAACTCAACACTCAAAAATCAATAGCATTCCTGTAAACAAATAACAAAATTACTGAAGAAGAAATGAGGGAAACAACACCTTTCATAATAGCATTCAAAAAAAAAAAAGCAGACACCTAGAAATCACTCTAATGAACCAAAAGAACTTTACATTGAAAACTATAATACTCTGCAAAAAGAGATTGGAGAGGATATCAGAAAATGAAACAATATCTATCCCTTGTACTTCGGTAGGAAGTACCTATAGAGTGAAAATAGCCATACTTCCAAAATTGTTATACACATTTAATGCAATCTGGATCAAAATACTAACAGTATACCTCATAGAATTAGAGAAAGCAATCCTAAAATTCACGAAGAACTAGAAGAGATCTAGAATAGCGAAAGCAATTCTGGGTAACAAAGGAAAGGCTGGAAGCATCACAATCTCTGATTTGAAATTTTACCTAAAAGCTACTGTGATAAAAAAAAAGCATGGTATGGCACTGCCAAAAAAACAAAAAACAACAACAACAGCAAAAACAGACCCTAATATCAATGGAACAGATTAGAAGATGCAGAAACAACTCTAAACACATGCAGCTGCCACTGAAATTGTATCTTTGATAAAGAAGCACTGGAAGAAAGACAGTGTTTTTAATAAATGGTACTGGAATAACTTGCTTTCCACATGCTTAAGACTAAAATTAGAACCATATTTTTCACCATGCACTAAACTAAAATCAAAATGGATCAAAGATCTAAATAATAAAATAGAATAAGGGAAAAGAAAAAAATGTGAAAAAATGAAAAAAAAGGAAACAAAGTCTTTGTAAATAGGGAATGGTGAAGGGGGTGAGGGGAGGACAGGGGTGTGGGAAAAAAAAACAAGAACCAAGATATATCAGTAAAGGTACAAGATCCCAATGATGAATGTAACTGTATTGTTTCATTTAAATGCACCAATAAACTTAATGGAAAAATATAAAATAAAACAAAATAGAAACACTAAATCTTCTGAAAGATAAAATAGGTAGAACTCTTGAAGACACTGGTTTTAGGCAAAGACTTTATGACCAAAACCTCAATTACACAGAAAATATCACAGAGTCAACTGGGATCACATCTTATTTAAAAGCTTGCAGCTGGGAAGTTAGCTCAGTGGTGCCGCCGCCTGACTCACAAGCTCAAGGTCCTGAGTTCTATCCCCCATATAAAAAAAAAAGCTTGCAAAGCCAAAGAAATCACCAAAAGAGTTAAGAGACAAACCACAGTGAGGGAAAAACCATTCTGCCAGCTGTTCCTCAGACAAAGGACAACTATCTAAAATATATAAAGAACTAAAAAAATAAGACCAACAAAATTTAAAGACCCAATTCAAAATGAGCATCTGAAATGAATAGACATTTCTCAGATGAAGTAGAAATGGAAAATAAATATATGATTACATTTTCAACTTCCCTACTCATTTGAGAAACGCAAATTAAACCATGCTGAGATTCCATCTCAGTCCAGAAATATTGCTATTATCAAGAAAATAACCAGTAACAAATGCTGGCAGGTCTGTGGGGGAAAAAGGAACCCTTCTCCACAGTTGCTGGGAGTGTAGACTGGTGCAACCACTGTGGAAATAAGTGTGGAGATTACTCAAAAAACCAATACTAGAAATTCCTTTCAACCCAGCTATTCATCTCCTTGACAACTTCCCAAAAGATTTAACAGCATCATACCACAGCGATATATGCACACCCATGTTTGCAGCAGCAAAGTTTGTAATAGCTAAAACTTGGAAACAATCCAAATGTCCATCAAATGATGAATGAATAAAGAAGATGTGGCTTTTTTATACAATGCAGCACTATTCAGCCACAAAGAATGGTAAGCTCAGGCATTTCTAGGTAAACAGATGCACCTTGAGACCATACTCTTAAGTGAAATAAATCAGACAAACATGTTCACATATCCCCTTGTTTCTCTTATGTATGAAATTAAAAGTGCAAATAAGGACCAAAATGTACAACAGATATTGGCAAACTGGAAGAAAATGTTCCAATGAGAGGGGGAACAAGGGAGAAGGGAGGGAGAAAAGAAAGAAGTAACAAGAAAAAAGAATGGAAAGAAAAATGGAAACAAACCTTTTCTAAATGAAGAGGGGTTGAAGGAAGAGAAGGGAAATGGGGAAAAAAAAGAAAAATCAAGAAACATCATATACAGGTACAAATTCCCTATGTTGGATGCTATCATTATGTATATCTAAAAATGCATCAAAAAATAAAGAGAAAAAAAAGCCCTCTATATGCTTTTTCACTAAGATATGTTTGAAAGCCTTCTTGGTTCTCCTAAGGCTGAAGCCAAAGCAAAGGACTTAAAGGTTAAAAAAGAATTACTAAAAGTCACTGGCAGCCACACACAAAAAAATGTATAGATCACCCTCTTACTGGCAACCCCACACACCATGGCTTCAGAGGAAGGGAAAATATTCTAGGAAGGGGGCCCTCAAGAGAGACAAGATTGACCACTATGTCATCATCAAGTTCCCACTGACCACTGATTCTGCTATGAAGAAGTGAAGACAACAATGTACTCATATGCATTGTGGATGTCACAGCCTATTGGTTTGAGACACCATACACATCCAGGGTGGGGCCTTCAGTTTCAACAACTCCATCCAGTCACACCCATAACTATGTAAATTCAATCATTAGACTGATCCAACTATCACATCCCCATATCCAGGATCATATCTATGATCTACAGTCACTTCCCAAAAGCCCTAAGTAAGAGTGCATGAGGCTTGGAGAGACATCTAGATTAAAGCCATAACAATGTGTGATTTGGCAGAAAATTCCAGGAAGCAAAAACATATTGTCTACAAAGGCCTAAATGTGGCTGGAGCTGCAGATGGCAAGAGATAAAACTGAACAGATAAGCAAGGATAAGATGCTGAAGGACAGTGAAAGCTACTTTGGGGAAAATGGATTTAACTGTGAAGGCAAGACATGACATGGAAAGGTTTTAGATAGGAATGGCATGAAGAAGTTTTCATTTGGCACATTCACTGTATTTGTAATCTAATGAAGAAAGAACAAAGCCAAATTATATATGTTTTAAGGTTACAACAAAAGGAGAGGACAAGCAGAGAACTTCCAAACTTCTATAGTCTAAGGTTGAATTCAGGAATATATATGTTGGGTACATGGTTAGAAAGTTGACACATCTTTTGAAGATTGTATTGGGCACATAAATATTTGCAGATAAAGATGGAAGCAAGAGGACAATTTTTGGTGCTGGTGTTTGAATACAGAGCCTTGCACAAGCTAAGCATGTGCTGTATCATTGTGCCTCAGTCCTGTCCTCCAAATTTTTTTACTAAAGAATGGCTTAAAAAAATCAAGCCAAGAGATAATAGTACAAAATTTCATAAAAAACAAAGGATATAAATAATTATTCATTTTTTCACATTTCCACTATTATTCACATTGGTGAATGATAGTGTTTCCAGCAGGGCAATGTGAAACTTTAAAACTTAGATTTTTTTTTGTCTTTTAGAGAAAAGTAGTTTCTTTTATAAATAAGGAGCGTCCCTGAACTTCCTTGTGTAGAATGACATAATCATCAACTCCTTTTCTTCTCATAAACAAAGAAAATAAAAAGAATATGCTGATGCTGTCCCCAGGAGGTCAGGGCCCAGTTTCCTTTCTACAGGAAAGGGAGAGAGAAAAAGGAAGATGGCTGAGAGTGATAAAGCAAGCCTTGAGATATGTATCATCTCATTATATTCCTCCTCCACTCTGCTCCTTAAGTATAAAAGGATTCTGCATACAGGAAAAAGTGAGGTGGTGCTTTCTGGCAAATGAGCCCCTCCATCTTCTCTGAGCTGGCTTTGAATAAAGACTTTTTTCTTTCACCAAAGTAAATGGCCTCTTTTATTCGGTCAGTAGCAAGAAAATGAACCTAAGCCTATAGAATTGAGTGACCAGGTGTAATCGTACACACTTTTGAAATCTTATTGTGCCTATAGATTTCTTATTAAATTTAGAATTGTTTCTAAATTTTTTGAAAACATATGTTACTGTTATGTACAATTTCTTCAAGCAAAAATATATATGATTCACTAAGTATATTTCAATGTGTTTCTTGGCTATATACTAGAAATTAAATATAAAACTTATTTATTGTTAATTCCACTTGGTAATTGAAATTAAATCTAACAGCTGTTAGATTAATAAAAGATAAAATAAAAATCTGCTTTCACATCATTGCTTCATCACATTAAGTAAAATTAAATATTTTAAAATTTTTGTATAATCACTACATATCACGTAGTTCAATACATATGGAGTACAAAACACCTTCAAAATAAAAAGCATCTTACCTTAAATGTCAAAATAGTCGTTGAATAATTAGGCACTACTATGGAATTATTTGCCAAATCTCCCACTCTGCAATCGATAATGATGGTTCCAAAAGCCAGAGGTTTTTTTCCAATTCCTTTTATGTCAATGATATGCTCCATACCATCCACTTCATTTTGTATAATAAGTTTTCCCTATGACAAACCAGCCAAATTTCAGCTCTATAGCAGTTACAGTTCAATGTCAATCAATGTCTGGCATGATAGTCATAATAAATCTAGTGAAATTAGCTTGTAAACAGGTATTAGCCATTGACTTTTCCAGTTCACATATCAATGTTTTTACTGAAGAAATAAACCACTAGTGAAAATCTGCTATTTCTTTCTACTTTCTGTAAATAATTGAGTACATGTACACATTCCTATATGTATCAATTATTATGTGTATGTACTTCCTTGTCAAAAAATTATTATTTTAGCCAGGCCTGGTGGGTCATGCCTGCAATTCCAGCACTCTGGAAGCCTGAGGCGGAAAGATCACACGTTCCAGGGCAACCTGAGCAACTTAGCAAAACTCTTATCTCAAAAATTAAGAGGGAATGGGCTGCAGATAACTCCAGGAAAATGTCTTGGGTTCAAATCCTGGTACATACCCTCAAGATTATAGGCTTAAGAACATATTTGTTGATGTACTCATCTGTGTAATGAATAGGAACACAAGGAGCAATAATTTTGTTATTCAGCATTTGATGTAAAAACAATCCAAGTATAACAGTACTGTGACTTCCAAAATATTTAACTTTCAAATTAAAAATATCTATTTAAATTTTGAAGCAAAACATATTATATTTATAGAAAATAAAATTTTAGCAAAAAAGTTATCATCTAATAAAATATGTAACTTACATATTAAATACTGGGAAAAAGAATTAATGAGTTCATACCATAATCTCACACTCCAAAATAGGTTTAAACATGAGAGGATATTCCACAGTTTCACCTGGTCTTATATATAAAATAGCAGGTCCAAAAAACCATTTTCCTTCTATTTTAATTTGACATTTCCATTCCTTCTTTGTTTCATTACACTAAAATGAAAGGAAGAAAGGTACAAGAAGATTACCAGGATGATGTTGATGAAGCTGAGTTACATATGAATTCTTGGTACTTTCAGTGAAAGTATATATTGTATTTTTATTATACTAAAATCTCAATATTAAAACCATATATTTAAAAATGACTACTAAAATGTGAACAAAAGGCCCAAGAATGACTATATGTTCTTTTTATGTCATACAGTAATAGTATCTGATGGGCCTATTAAGGATTATTTAATAACTAGAAAAATATTCCTTCATTCGACATACTAACTACTGTTATAATAGCAGTATAGTCTGGGTTGACACAATTTATGCCTAAGAGAAATAAAAGGTGTTCTAATTTGTATATTTCTCAGACAATACAGATGACATATTTTATCGGAACAGATTTTTGCTCTTCAGTTTGACTTTTGTTATATCTTTAATATTAAACAAAACCCAATTTATCTGTTTGAAAACCCACAGTTACTAACAATTACATTGTCGTCTATGCTGTATTACCACTCTAATATGGAGTCAGGCCACTGTGAATCACCATTCTCAGTGCTCTGAATCCACCTTCGTCAAAAGATTACAACAGACTTTGGAGCAGAGTGTGTGGGAGGGAGTTCATAACTCTGTTTCGTGAAGCCAGGAGGTAGAACTTTTGGTTAGGAATTTGAGGATAGGTTAAGGAAATTCTAAAAGTAAAGCGATCCATCAAAGTAAACGATCATGTGCATAACATGATAGTAATTTATATTCAAGAAGAAACTTTGACATCAATGAGGAGAAATAATTGGCAGCAGATGATCCCATTGTCAATCTGTAGTAATTCAGAAGGAAAAGTTTGCAGTCTTTCATTTAGACAGTAGTAGTAGGTGTGGAAACTCAAACTATCCTAGAATATATTTCTTTAAAAAATTTCAAGATGGCTATTCTGAGAAACTGCAAATACAAGCAACTCTGAAAGGCTACTCTTTTGTAAAACATTTATAAAGGAGATCTACATTAGTAAAAGGTGGTTGCAAGCAGCAGCTTTTCCAACTGACATATCTCTACCTGTAGGAAAGATCCAATTACAGGAGGAAGAGGCTGGAAATCATACAAGTGGCCCAGACAGAGACTAAGTCAGGTGGCTGCTATATGGGAGGTTTTCTCTACATAACAAGACTATCCTTGCTCACTGTGTACCACCTCCCCTTAAGCATCCACAGCCAGCCACCACCTGCCTCTCACCCAGAAGCCCAAATTTCAATACTTTGTTTAGCTCCTAAATAACCTTCAACTATCTTGCCCTGCCTTCCAGTCTTTTGCTGTGTGTGGCTCCTATGTTCCTTCATGTTATTTGTTAAACGTCATTTTTCCCCACTAATCTGTCTAATGTTGTTATTTCATAGACTTAAAATGTCAAACTCCCCCCAAAAAAGAATAAATTTAAAAGTTCTTTACGTGGAAATAAAGTTACAAAAAATGTTTGTACTTACTATTGGAATGTTCTGGGTAAGAGGTTCAAATGCTGGTGTCTCAAATTGAAATGCTGCCTCTGGTTGATCTGCATTTACCACACCTTCAACGTTATAGATTCGCACATCATAGTTTGATGTCAACAAAATTTTACAAGGGTAACGTCCAGGACCAAGAGGTAGAAATTGTAGAGGAACTGAAATAAATTCTTCCACATCTATTAAAATAATTAAAAAGAAATAGGTTAGTCATTTAAATGTCATAAATCCTAAAATACACTGACAAGGAATATTTAATATTATTGTGTTAAATTATATCTTATAATTTAGAATAGACTAGGTTTCACTGAAGTAACACACAATGCCAAAATCTCCAGGGCTTATTATGCAAGTTTATTTATGAGAGACTGTAACTTGCATAGTCTGGAGGAAGGCTTGCTTGATTAAAAACACTCCAGCCTCATGCTCCGATGGATACCACTATCTTGTTGCTGTTTTATCACAAACACCTCTGCATACTGGTTGATAATTCAGACTAAGAGGAACAGCTGGAAGGTAGTTTCAGGGCTTTTCAATGTTCAGTCCGAAATTAATATACTTTACATTTAATTGGCAGACACAGAAACATGATGGCAAATAAAAAGGAGTTAATAAATGAAGTAGATATTTGTACAATTTCATAAGCATTACTGTCTATCACATTTCTATGACTGAGAAGTGTAATGCCACATAACAATCAAAATAATTTTTCACTTAACCAGCAGATAAAAATGCTCATTTACTAATGATCCTTGAGTCTAAATGTGAAAGCCAAGGACATTCTTAAGTATATATTTTCCAATTCATAAAATGCTAATGTGCAAGAACTATAAATGCCATCTGGCCTCTCTCTTTTACATGTTTTAAAAAGGAACGTATTATACCAGTAGAATTCATAAAAATGATAGTTCTACTTTTGAAGATTTATTAATAATATATGTTTCTTTGTCTTAAACATAAAAAATAATTCAGTCATGCACAGAACATATGTAAGAACATTATAAGAAGCCACTTCTGGACAAAGACACTTATCTGCAAAATCTGCATCCCTTATATACAGGGAATGATTTTGATCTGTAGAAATTTGGAAAATTTGCCAGCTACCTAGTGCCACCAGTTTTTTCTTCTTGTAGGCATAAGTTTTCTCAGTCCTAATTCTGTAATGTAACTGATGCCATTCCTGTACTATTATTAAGAGCCTCTGAATTGGGTAATTGGTTTCCTTTCTTTGTATTCTCACACTCTTCTACCTATATTGTCTAAGATTTTCTCTTAAACTATTTTTTTGAACTGAAGGTTTTTTTGGTTGTTGGTTTCTTTTAGTCCTTGTTTTGAGACAGTCTTGCTTTGTGATTCAGGCAGGCTTCCAACTCACCATGTAGCCTAGGCTGGCCTCAGACTTGCAGCAATCTTCCTGCCTCAGCCTCCTGAATGCTCAGATTACAGGCCTGTGCCACCATGTATGGCTAAAACTCAATTTGTTTTGTTGTTGTTGTTTTGGGGAGGTTTCCTGGGATGGAACTGAGGACCTTGCTCTTTGTGAGGCAGTCAGGCACACCACTGAGCTAAATCCCTGGCCCAAGCTCAAGCTTTTAATCTCTTTAAATTAATAGGATTTGGCCAATTATTTTATAACTCTTTATTTTTTGACTTTGAGATACTATGTGTAAGACAGAGTCATTTCAATACATAAAACAAATAAGCCTAGGGTTGATCTGGTTGAAATAGGATGAAAAGTTAGAATTTCCATTCACTTCTGTAATATCCCAATAGATAACTGACAGTACATGAGAATTCCAGGATTTCTAAATTTCTAAATCAATTATAGAATATAATTTCATAGCTTTATCCTGCCTTAAATCACAAAGATTATACAAAAAAACTTCAAAAATGTGGAAGAGATTAAGTAATATAGTATACAGGACATTACATTCTATAGTTTTTTAGGTATACTATTAACAAGTAATCACAAACTCTAATAAAGAAAAGGAGCTATTACAAAATGAATAATTGCATTTATTTATTATATATTTATTTATTGTAAAGAAAATTATATTTTCAGAGATTTTTGGTTAAACTTTAAATCATAATTCTATCTAATGTTGAAAAGCTTTCTGTCTATCATCTAAGTCAAAAGAATAAAAAGCCTACTAATTATAATTTTGCTATTTTAGTACTTTATATTCTTATTTGTATATGAGTATATGTCTTGAAATTCATCCAGTAAAAACAAGTGATAGATTTACTGTGTGCTAAAAAGGGTTCATTACTGTTTCTTCAATTAATAACAAAAGCATGAATATGACCGTAGACCTTATGCAAAAAATAAAAGGAACCAGCAATTACAAACAAATAAACTTGATTTATTCTGTTAAAAATATTCGCTAATAGATATGTAGTTAAGTATCACCCACTTAGGAACAACCAATTGCAGAAGTGGTTTGATTATAATAAATCTGAAGACTTAACATTGAATTTATTATAATAATAAAAGAGCAATGATTTTAAAATGCTAAAAACATACTAATTATTGACAGATTTCTTGAAATATTAATGTGGATTTTATTAGTTGAAAATAGAGTAAAGTATTTTTTCTTTTGCTATCATTGGAAAAAGTATATAATAATATTTAAGGGTGAAAAGAAAGACAGAAATGTAGAGATTGGGGAGAAGGCAAAAATAAAAAGGAAGAAAGGAAAGGAGATAAAAATAAAGAAAAGCTGGAAATTGTAACCTGAGAAGCGAAATGAAGTAATATCGTTAATAGAAAAGGGGCTATGGAACTACCCTCCTCCACTCACCTGAACCTGGGCAATACCCCAGGGCCAACCCCCTGAACTTCATCCCAGCGCCTCCTACCGGGAAGCAGCAAATTCTGAAGTCCTCAACTAAGACACATGTGTACCAGATCCTCCAGCATTAACCCAGGCAGTGGTGGCAACCTATGGCACAAGTGCCATAGCAGGCTGTTTGTATCTCTGAAAGCTCTAAAACAGTGTCTAATCTAGCTATTTATTTTTAAATTAATAAATACATACCATGGGCTTTTGAATATTTTACTTGGTAGTTTTATATGCAGCATAAAGCTGCATTTTATTTTCCATTGTTAAAATATCTACTTCTATAGTTTATTCTCTGTTTATTATAATTAAAAACAGCAAAGCAGCCTGGTGGGATTCACTTGTCCTTTATAAACTGTCCTTTGCAGACTTGCTTTTTTTTTTCTTTACTTTTGCCCAGCATTCAAAATTCTGAAGAAAATTTACACTTAAATGATTAAGATGTTAACTACTAGCCAGCTATTCCAGGAAAAAAGGAACAAGAGAAACATCTGTCATAAGAATTCATGATTAGTAATCTTTCTTTAAATATATGGAAACCAGAATACCTGGTGACCTTAAGATAACTTCTGACTGTGGGTCAAAGAAATGGACCACTGACGCATTAATGATCACTCTAGTACTCACCTGCAGTGCCTAAAAATATACTTCCTTAAATTTCCCTTTGTAAAAGATTAAACATATGGCTTTGTTATGACCCTTACATCATGCAAAAAAATTCAAGCACATCTCAAAACAATATTTTTAAGGAGGCAATCAAAATTTTAACAGAGATGATATTAAAAGATTATTAACTTTTTTATTTTTATTAATATATGTTTGCAGCATATAATTTTACACCTACCCTGTGGAGCTGGTATTCTCCCTTTTTCACATCTTCCCCCTCATTCCATCTCTTGATCCACTTCCCTTTTTCAAAATGTATTTATATAAACTTTGCACTTGGTTGCTAGGTCTGAAAGGACTCAGAACAACAGCCTGATCTTCACAACAAATTTCCTTCTCTAACTCTCCCTTGCCTCTTAAAAAGTTGACTCCTCAGGGCCGGGGATTTAGCTCAGTGGTTCCGCCGCTGGCCTTGCAAGTGCCCCGAGTTGGATCCCCAGCACCAAAAAAAAAAAAAAA